ATGGACACAATATGTCACAATGCTGTCACTTTAAGAACTATTTAACTACTATCCTCCCAGTGAAAACTATAGATAGTAAACATGTATTCAGAATTACTGTAACAATAATACAATGACATACTTGGGACAGGAAATTACAGAAACAGAAACTGCCCCTCAACACAGTAAAATCTTACCCTGATAGGTTTGAGTGCTTGAGCATCAGGAAGAAATTTCAACAATGTTGAGGCAGCCAGTAGCAGAAAAGAGCGATTGATTGAGTCTCCTCCATCCAGCCCTGACAGAGACAACTTATAAAGACCATTGCAAGACTCATGACGGACTGCAGTCTAAATGAAAAAGCAAGTTCCAAAGATAGTCTGAGTTAGCATTAAAAAGTTAATTTTAAGGTTAATATGTTGGCAGAAATAACATGTTAGGTGGAATCTTCAGCAACACATTTTAAAATGCAATGTCCTGATCACATACTCATGCACCTAAATAATACATGATCCAATGAAGTACCCAAAAGCACAGAGTAATATGTAAAAACATTTTAGAAATTCCCCAAAATGATCATAAAAAAACCCAAATAAATACAACAGACAAATACAAAAGGGACTGAGAGAGGATATTCATAATAATTTATTTACATAATTAAGTAACAGGAAAAATATTTTCAGCAAAAGAAGCAATTTAGAAAGTACTTAAACCAGAATATTTTAAAGATTCTAACGGACTTGTCCGAACGTCACAATAGTTACCTGGGACACAGCCAGCACAAGAATACATATGCATTCAATACAGTGCTAATATCAGAAAATACTGTCTAAAAAGGATATGACTATTGTGGCTAAGTATATTAGTAAGAATGTGTTTCTACTATTTCATTTAGAAATACGGGGTGAGTAATATCAACATACAATTAGTGTAAATTCTATTGACTTCATTGTGAACACTTGAAATCAAAATATATTTAACTTAGTCTCTCTTGCATCTAAGGATACACTCTAATTAAATAGAAAAAGCAAAAGAAACTTCTCTAAAACATAAATTACAAAAATAAATGCTCAAAAAAAGATAAATGCTCAAGTCCTTCCAAACCCCCAGAAAAAAAAAAACTAAAACCAAAACCCAAAACCCAAACAAACCTAAAACAAAATAATTACTCTGTAAACAAATACTGCAGAAAATATGAACGTTATAGAATATTTAACATCCACACAATTCAAAACACTCTAGATCTTAAAGGATTAAATAAGTACATTCCAGGTAATGTGATATATTTATGGAATCATATCCATTTGTTTCCATTAGCTCTCTTTTTATTATCAATGCTAATAATATGAAAAAATATGAATAGGACTAACCCTCAATCTTTATCTTACCTCAGGAATAAGGAGAGTCAATTTCTTTAGCCAATCTTGTAAATGATCACTATCAGCAAGGCTAGATTTCACTAAAGAACAGCAATGAGCCCAACTCACCAAGAGCCACATTGAATAATGTGAAACTAAAGAAAAATTGGAAAAAAATTACTATAAAGGCTTGTGCTATGAAGAAAACAAAATGCTCATTATTAAATATATATAAATGTATCTAGTCATTCAAATCTTTATCTATTAAAATTTAACTTTGTGGAACCCTTACCTTCATGTCTAGACCTGTGATCAGACTGAGCTTTCAAAACTCTGTAAAGTAAAAACACATCACCACCACTAATTAAATTCAGCAATGAATTAAAAATAACTCAATTTATCACTACATGGCCTTTAGCTTTCTCTGCCCCCTCGATAGATTAGATTTTAAAAGCTAATAATTAATTTTCCCATGGTCTTCATTTTTTATTTAAAGAATCCTTGGCAAAATCTTATTATAGCAAACATCAAATGACTGCTCAGAGAGTGAATCCTATATTGACTGAAATCAACTGTTAAAAAGTGCTAAAGCTCTGGTTAAAGAGGTATGTATTACAAAGAGAAAGGTTATAATATTTTAGTTTAAATTTCAGACTCCTTAGAAAAAAATCATACACTGACATAAAATGTTCTTCCTTTTGTATTGTTAATGCAAATTTCTATCAGGAATGCTTAGAAGCAAACCACTGAAAAGTAGTGAAAAATTCCCAATTTAATTCTATATTTCACTTCTATTTTTTTCCCCACGATACTTTTAGTAACTTCATTAGAAAATACATTACCTCAATTTAAAGAAAACAAAACATTAAAAATTTTCATGTTAACAAAACCAGTAAACAGGGATTTAGTATTCACCTTACAAATAAGCTATCTTTAAAAAAGGACTTTAGCATCCTCACTTTGTTATAATGAACAAAACAACTTTCAAAATCTCAAAAAGCAAGACTCATCTGTATTACTGATTTAAAATAAACAGTACTAAGAAGTTAAAATTTACGAATCAAGTATTTGGCCATATTTCATGTTTAACTTTTATCATATTAATCTAATACATTTAACTTTACCAGGAGGAATCTACCCATCTACTTTTAAAATCTGTAGCTTTAGAAGATTTTTGCTAACAGGGAAAAAGTTCATTCTAGCTACTTTAATTGACACAAACCTCCTAGCACATATAAACTGAAGGTGGAGGACTATGAAAAGATAATGGCACAGGAACAGGAGCCAAGAAAACACAGACTAGAGGGGGACAGGGAGGGCTCACATTAGAGATCTTAACAAGATCTTTTAAGAATGGAAATGGTAGAATGAAAAGAATTGCTGCAGTGAACCAGCCTGAACAACAGCAGCTGGTATCAAACCTGCGTATTTATATTTCATTGTGTCAGGTTAACAGGATCAAGCCAACATTTCTTAATGCTGAAAAAATAAAAGCAGACTAGAACAGTTATTGACAAGCAGTTAACAAGACTAGAAGAGCCTTGTTAACTCAATATACTGTGATGCATGGGATAGTGAGGTATACAGAATGTGTGTTAGAGAACAAGGAGAACTAGTTAATTATTTAACTGGAGAGCAACTAGCAGGTGGAGTATAAAATGTATTTTGTCATAAAAACCAATGCCATATATAGCAGTTTTTTTGATTCTCCACATTATCCATTCATTAGTTTCACAAACAATGAGGTAAGGTGCCTGGCACTGATAATATAATGGTGGGTAAAATCAGATATAGTTTGAACAGAACTTAAAAGTCTAGTGGGGTAAAGCAGATATTGATCAAGTGAATTCAACTGAGACAGACACTTAAAAAACTTCATTAAAAATAATCTTAAAATGATCATGCTTATATACAACCACTGCCTATGAAGGTGACTTTTAAAAGCATCTAAAAACAGCTAACTAGATATTAGCCATAAATAAGATTAAGCACTCTTAAAGGTGTTCACAGTATCTTTGTAAATCATTTGAGTACAAGGGCAAACTTCAGCCCAATACAACATCTACAGAATACAACACATGGAAATTAATTCTACATACTTTAACATAATTTATGTGATCATTTAAGGCATACAATCAAGTACTCATGTATTAGCAATTACCATTTATATATTGTTAAAATTCTGTACATTATTTAAAAAAAACCCACCAACACAGCCCACCAAAATGGGATCATATTACATGTTTAAACTATATTCTTATATACATTATTTCCAGCTCTATCTACTGAGGGCCTAGAAGCAAGGAAACACTAAGAACAGTGAGTATGCCAAGTATCCATATTTTAGAGGTTCCCCACCAATAAGAACTAGGGATTCTTAAAGAAATGCTGATTCTAGAACTAAGGCAGGGAAACTGTAAGCCTGGAAGATCCTATCGTGATAGGAAAAATAAAAAGAGACTCTTCCCTTCCACCAAATAATGGGGATATGTCCAAAGGACACATGAAGAAGCTTGAAGCAGCCAACTCAGCTATAATTTGAGCAAAGAGTAGTAGTAATGAATTATACTGAATGGAAAAAAATTCATGAAATTGATAGTAAACAAAAGGGAGGAAGAGAAAGCTCTTCTTTATAATAGAATGTGAATTAATAAACATAAAAGGAATGGTAAGAGTTAGAAAATCACTAGTTTGCAAACGTTATGCTAACATTTAATTCAGGTAAGAATCACCACTGAATGCTAAGTCAATGAAAAGCAGTTTTGTGAAAACTAGCCAATTTATGCAGTTGCAAAATATTTTTCCACAGATTACTATTAACTAGAAAGGAAACATCAGAAACTTTACTGTAGAGAAACTTGCAGGAAACCAGATTAACTGATCAAAATTAGTATCACTAATAATAGGACAGAGTGTTATCTCCAGGGTGTATTGGGAAAGATACATTACTTATGGAGTATTTCTGCTAAAATGTGTAGTCTGAATCTAATCGTGAGAAACAATCAGGAAAACTTAAATTGAAAGACACTTTAGAAAAGAATTGGCCTATACTACTCATAAATGTCTGTATTATGAAAGAAAGGCTAAGAAAGTATCCTCAATTAAAGGAAATGGAAGAAATATGACAACTAAATACAGTATGTGATCCTGGACCAGGAAAAAAATTGTTATAAACTGTTACGCAGTTGGTAGGAATGTAAACTGGTGCAGGCACTGTGGAAAAAAGTATGGAGGTTTCTCAAAAAATTAAAAATAGAACTACCGTTATGTCCCCAAAATTCCACTCCTAAGTATCTATCTGAAAAAAAATAAAAACACTAATTTGAAAAGATACACGCACACCAATGTTCACAACAGTATTATTTACAATTGCCAAGATATGGAAGCAACCTAAGTGTCCATCAGCAAATGAATGGATAAAGATGTGCACAATGGAATACTACTCAGCCATAAGAAGAATGAAATTGTGCCATTTGCAGCCACGTGGATAGACTTGGAGGGCATTATGCTAAGTGAAATAAGTCAGACATAGAAAGACAAATACTGTACGAATCACTTATATGTGTAATCTTAAAAAAATACAACAAAGTAGTGAACAAAAAAAGGGGCAGACTCACAGACACAGAGTAGTTTGGTTATGGGGAGAAGAGGAAGTAGGAGGTACAAACTATTGGGTGTAAGACAGGTTCAAGGATGTATTGTACAACATGGAGGATACAGCCAATATTCTGTAGTAATTATAAATGGAAAATAACCTTTAAAATTGTGGAAAAAACTTAAAAAGTTTTAAAGAATATTAATGGGACAATTTGAGTATTAGATAATATATCAATGTTAAATTTTCTAAATTTGAGTATTTTACTGTAGTTGTTAAGAAAACATCCTTGGTCTTAGGAGATACACATCAAATTATTTGTGAATAAACTGTCACAATGTCTGAACTCTCGCAAGATTCAGAACTATACATAAACAAATGTGTGCACACAACACAGAAAATGCACACTCATGATTATGCAATAAAAAATTGGCAAAATGTTGATAATAATACGCAAATCTAGATGAATGAAATAGAAGTTCACTGAAACACTAACAATTTTTGTTTTTAAATTTTTTCAAATTGAAGTTTTAAAACACTATATCCTTACTATAAATAGATATATACATAAATTATGTAGAAACTTCATACCTAGGAGCCAGATTATCATACGTATAAGCAACAGACATAAGTCGCTGAATCAAACTGGTTCCTTGGACAAGAACAAGAAATACCTTTAAAACAAAAACATTTAACAAAATCTATAAATACACTAAAACACAAAAATGCATTTTCAACCAAAGATTCCAAATTACTTTGATTTTTATTTATAAAAAGATAAGGAATATCCTAAGAATGGTTATTGGAAATACTGTAAAAATATCAAATATCAAAAAATCAGATTTATAATCCAACTTTTTAAATATAGCAACTTTAATAAGAAAATATTGGAAATTTAGAAATACACAGACAAATCCTCTCTTCATATTTGATCCACAGATTCTCTGCACGTTACCCAATAGTGTTATAAAATATTATATATTACACATGTCAGTGGTCTTTCTGGGCACTAGGTGAAGTAATATTTTTCACTTTTGAAATAAGAATAAAAAAAGTCAAGCACTGGCAGATTCCTTAACCATCCTGAAACAAATATAGAAAAGCAATACAATATACCATAGATACAGAGCATGGATTCTAGATGAAAAATCTTGAGGTTCAACATTCAGCTTGCTAGCTTTCAAGCTGCATGACTCTAATAAATACTTAATTTCTAGTCTAGTTCTTCAATTGTATAGTAGGAAAAAAACCGCTAATTTAATAAAGAATTATTAAATCCCTTATGCAAATTGGAACCCATTCTGAGCAGTGACTTTATAAAAGCCCTGTTCCCATCTTGGAAATGTTAGTCCAGTGTAGCAGATAACATAGAAAACACGGTAACACAAGTATACGCAATGTGCCCAATGAGCAACAGAAGGGAGCAGCAACTAAACCTGTCCCTGGCAAAACTGGGATAGCTACAAGAAAAGCTATATATTTAGGCTAGAATCTAAAAGTCCAATTTGGAATTTGAACCTTCTAAAAGGGTACTAAAGGAGAATCAACGAAATAATGCATGACAGTAAATTATTTAAAAAAAAAAGTGTTCTTCCCTACTACAGAACTACTTCGTCTCCAGAATTAGGGTTGCAAAAATTTTCCCCCTAATAGCCTAGATTCACATACTAAACTCTAAATATTATGATAAATAAATGAAAAAAGTATAGTATGCTCCTTTTCTAAACTATAAAAATCTAACATTAGCATATGCACAGAAAAATGAGCACATAATAAAATAACATATAAAGCTATTATTAATGGTAGTGACCTGTGACTTCGGGAAAGGTTCACTTATATATTCTCAATTACTTTCAATAAGTATGCACTTGAACAAATTTTTTAAGAATTAGCCAATTATTTAAAAATTCCATATATGGGTATATGTATTCTATTTCTTTATTAGTAACAGCTCATTACTCTGGTATTTCTTGGGTAAGTATGAGGTGAGGCGCCATTCTCAAAAGGTTACAAAATGAGGAAGAGATTTCAGTAAAAACTCATCTTCATTCCTCCCCACATTCTAGTTCAGTGATGACACTGAAGAGCAAACATTTGATCACATGAACAACAGAATTTACAGTCAAAAAGAATTTTCATTTTATTGTTAGATGTGCTGGTTATTGTACCATCTTCAGCTCTAAATCTACCATATTATGTATGTACTTACTCTGTGGCACTACGACTCGTACATTATAAACTAAACTTCTCTGCCAGCTGGCTTCCTATTCAGGTTTGTCAACCTGGGATACTAGTGAGATTACTTTCTTGCTTTTTCTATTAGCACTGTTTCTGAAGTATTTTACCCAGAAGAAGCAACTGATTTCAGCAGTAACAGAACCACTTCCTCAGAGGCCTAAACTCTAGTTCAACAGGATCCCTCCTATAATCTTTTCATTTCTGATAACCCTAATTTTCCATATATTCCTCAAACCCTAGGGGTGGTGGATGGTTACTTGTCTGGATTACCTCAACATTCCCTTTATCTTTAGCCCTCCAACACGTATGTGTAAAACCAGTTCTCTATTTTAGATCTACTCTGTTAAAATACCTAGTGTTTTCCTGAATGGACCCTGATATACTCAGTATAAAAATTACTGAGAATGACTAAGGAACTGAATTCTACAGTTAGGTAACATTTAAATGGCATATGTATTATTCATTCCTGCATTTTAGATGATGAACTGAAAAGCATTATTGCCTCATAACTTCTACTGCTTTAAAATGAAGGCACCACTTCAGCTGTTAAGTCATATTGTAATTTAGGGTAGTATTTTGTATACATTAGTGTATTCACTTCGTAAAAACAAAAATATATAAGATCTTTCAAAACATAAATAGAACCTATTACTACAATTCTTTTTAATTCTTATTTTTTATTGAAGTGTTAGTCAGTTTACGTTAGTATCAGGTATACAGCAAAGTGGTTCAGTTAAACATATACATACATATTTTCAGATTCTTTTCCATTACAGCTCATTACAAGAAATTGAATATAGTTCCCTGTGCTATACAGTATGTCCTTGTTTATTTATTACTACAATTTAATGGCAACGTTTGTACTTTACCTCTGTTAATCTCGGTATATGAAGACCCTTGGCATGATCACCAGCAGCTTTTCTTGATTTGCCAGGCCAGGTTCTTTTCCTATGGCTTTCTGCTATACCAGACCAGGCAAAGACATCATGATAAGCTAAATCCAAATCAGATGGATCTACTGCAAACTGGCATATTAACTTCAGCAAGCAAGCAAGACAGTCTAGCTGCCACTGTGGATAAGAAGAAAATGTCATTTTCCTATTTTCATTAATGTGGTCACTATACAACTTGAAACTAAAGGATAGAAAATAAAAATTATTATAGCTAGTACTTAATCCATATGGTAGAGAAATTTTGCTGCTCATGTATTATGGGTAGTAACAATTCAATCTTATAAAAGTAAAAAAAGACATTAGACACTAGAATGTGTATTTAATGAAATGGAAATGACACTTGCATTTCTATCATGAAAATTTCATACAAAGGTATATAATAGCGATATACAGGATTTTAAAAAATATACTGTTCAGAATGTAACAAAACTTAAAAAAATTATTAAAATGCTAATGAAGGTAACATTTACCTACAAAATAAAAGAACTGATGGCAAAAGTATTGGAAATTTTCTTTCCACATAAATGGTATATACTCTAATATTTGAGAGTGAAGGAAATTCTCAATAATTCTAGAAAGTAACTCAACTGAAAAATTTGCACTTTACATATATATATTTAAAATAAAACAAGTATTTTGTTGGTAAAATATTATATAGCATGAAAAGTAAAATTTCTACCTGATTTAAAGCTCTACCTTAAAGATTTAAAAATTAAATGATTCCTTTAAATAAATTAATAAGAATGTCACTTATATATGAGGATTTCAGAAGATTTCTCTTCAATGGTCCTTGTTCTCCTCTTTACCTAATATCACTGCTAAATAGCATGGCTATACTAATATACCAGAAAACAATACTATATAACTGATTTTCAAGAAAGGTACCAAGAAATTTCAGTGAGAAAAGAACACTTTTTTCAACAAATGGTGCTAGAAAAACTGAACAGCCATATGGAAAAAATAAATAAAACCTCAAATTCACTCTACATATACAACAGTTAACTCAAAATGTATCACAGACCTAAATGTAAAAGATAACTATGAAACTTACAGAAGAAAACACAGGAGAAAATCTCTGTGAACTTGCAACAAAGATTCCTTAATTAGGATACAAATTTTATTAAAATTAAAAACTTCCTACTTAAAACATTGTCAATGTAAAGAAAAAGTAAGCCAAAGACTGAATGCAAATATTCCTACTACCTATATCTGACAAAAAACTTGTCCAAATTGAATAAAGAAAAAAAGTCTTATAACTCTTTACTAAGAAAAAAACAAACCTTAATCAAAGCAAAACAAAAACCCCAAATATGAACAGACACGTCACTAAAGAAGTGCTAATGGGGATACTGATTACTAAAAATGTTCACATTAAAAAAAAAAACAAACCAAGATCTCAAATCAACAGCCTAACTCATGCTTAAGGAACTAGAAAAAGAAAGACAAACTAAACCCAAGCTAGGAGAAAGAAGGAAATAATAAAGATAAGAGCAGAGATAAACAGTGAATATAAAAACCTAGAGAAAATCAGTGAAAACAAAAGCTGGTTCTTTGAACAGAACAACAAAAATGACAAACCTTTAGCTAGAAGAACTAAGAAAAAACAAAAGTAATTACTAAAATCAGAAAAGAAAGTGGAAAAATGTTTAATTCTGCAGAAATAAAAAGGATTGTTAAGAGTACTATGAACAATCCTTGTATGCCAAAAAACTGGACAACCTACTTGAAATGGACAAATTCCTAGAAACACAAAACTCATCAAGACTCAATCATAAAGAAATAGAAAATCTGAATAGCCCTGTAACTAGTAAGATTGAATCAGTAATCAAAAATCTCTCAACAAAGAAATGTCTTGGACCTGACAGCTTCACTAGTAAATTATACTAAACATTTAAAGAATACGAACAATCCTCAAACTTTTCCAAAAAAATTGAAGGGGGAAACTTCCTAACTCATTTGATGAAGCCAGCATAAGTCTGATACCAAAGCCAGATAAAACATACTACAAGAAAAGTACAGACTAATATCCCTCATGAACATTGATGCAAAAATCCTCAACAAAATAGTTGCAAACAGAATTAAGTAACATATTAAAAGTTCTACACACCATCACCAATCGGGATTCTTGTAATGCAAGGATAGTCCAACAAGTAAGAAATGATCAATGTAATACTGCATATCAACAAAATGAAGGAAAAGACATCATCTCAACTAACACAGAAAATGCATCTAACAAAAGTCAATACCTTTTCATGATAAAAACACTCAACAAGATAGAAACAGAAGGAAACTACCTCAACATAATAAAAGCCATATACGAAAAACCCATAGTGAAAACCATACTCAGTGGTGAAAGTGAGTTTTTCCTTGAAGATCAGGAACAAGGCAAGGACACCTGCTTTCACCACTTCTATTCAACACAGTACTGGAAGTTTGGGCCTGACTAATTAGACAAGAAAAATAAAAGACATCTAAACTGGAAGGGAGAAGCAAAATTACCTGTTACTGAAGTAGAAAACCCTGAAGACTCCATACAAAGACTCTTAAAACTAGTAAATGAATTCAGCAAAGTAAAAGGATACAAAGTCACCATACATAATTCAGTTGCATTTCTCTATACAAGCAATGAGCAATATAAGAGAGATTACAAAAACAATTTCCTTTACAATAGCATCAAAAAGAATAAAATATTTAGGAATAAACCTAACCAAGGAGTTGAAAGGCTTCTACAATGAAAGCTACAAAACACTGCTCAAAGAAATTAAAGACAAAAATAAATGTAAACACAACACATGTTCACGGATTCGAAGACTTATTAAAATATCAATACTACCCAAAGTGATCCAAAGATTCAATGCCATCCCTAAGTAAAATTTTAATCATGTTTTTTGCAGAAAGAGAAAAACCCATCTTAAAATTCATAAGGAATCTCAACGGACTCTGAATAGACAAGAAATCTTGAAAGAAAAGAACTGGAGGACTCACATGTTTTGATTTCAAAACTTACAGCACAAAGCTGCAGTAATCAATACAGAGCGGCATAAAGATAAAAAGTTCAAAGGAATGGAATAGAGAGCCCCAAAATAAACCCTCACATATACGGTCAAATAATTTTTGACAAGGGTGCCAAAACCATTCACTGCAGGATATAATATTTTCAAGAAAAGGTTCTGGGCAACCTGGATATGCATATGCAAAAGAATCAAGTTAGACCCTTACCTAACACCAGATTCAAAAGTTAACTCAAAATGAATAGCAAAATATGTAAAACAAAAATGGAAAAAAGTACTGAAACCAACAAAATCTTGGTAGATAGCAATGTTTTTTAAATGTATTTTCTCCCATTAATCTTTTGGATGTAGCAGCATCTGAAAAATCACAAACACCTGACTCCTAGGTTCTAAAATAACTAAAAAGTAAGTACTAAGAAATTAATATTTGAATGGAATGTTTGATAATGCTACTCTGTTTTGCTGGAGGTCAGGACATGAGCATCTTTTCCATTTAATACAAAACTGGATTGTGCAGTTTGGTCCAGCACTAAGAATTTTCAAATATTCCACAAGCAATTTAATATTCCTAATA